GCTTCTGAATATGTAGCTCGTCTGAACCAGGTTTGCAAGTTAAGGCAAGAGGCCAGGACACAACAACAAACCAAACGTGCACCGATTGGTTGAACTTTACAACCATACATTGCCATGCTTCGGACATATTCGTCACTTTCAGGAGCTTCTCTTCGAGAGGGCGCACCAGCCTTTGAAACGAGCAATATCAAAATCAAACCATAGAAACCCACAGTTGTCAGCAATGAATTCCATACTGGAAAACAACTGGCTTTCTAGGCTTGGAGAGGTGACATCATCAATTGAGAACCCTGGCAACATCGACGACGAGATTGCTTCTGAGCTGGAAAGCATTGCTATCGGTGCAAGTCTGGAACAGAAGGATTCAAGGAAATTAAGAAAGTTTCTTAACAGTACTTTCGTACTGCCGTTATTGCGTGACTTCAAGAGAAGAATTTGTGGATTGGGAGACAGATTTAAGCAGGATTGGACTTGGGTGCCTGGTACAGAGTTGGAGGATTTTGGCATTGCTCTTGAAAGGACATCGTTCAAGACACAAAACAAGGAAGCATTTCAGGCACTCCAGAATATGTTTGGAGTAGAAACTCCAGGTGTGCAATGCACGGTAATATTTATGATATCATGCTTCAAGGTTTGCATTTCCGACGTAGATGAGTATATACAAGAAAGATTAATTGACAAAGGCATACCGAGACATGACATATTACGACCAGGTGAGATAGTACAGGCCACTGTGAATACGTTTTGGGGGACCTGTAACGACGAAGTGGTCATGCTGGTAGATGAAGTCCAGATGGACTACGGCAACCAAACTCAATCTTTCGATATGGATCAGTCTGAGACTTTGTTCTGGTACGTAGCAGGACTACTTCTATCGCGAAATATATGGAAAAAACAAGACCAGGAGTGAAGTCAAATTTAACCGCAAAGAAAAATGAAGCGTGCAAAGATGAACAGATGTATGCTGTTGTCATTCCCTGGGAGAAGTTGCACAATGCCTGCTGTTGGGAAGAAAAAGGTTTAAAATACTGCAGTCAAGTGGCAACTATATTTTAAGGTTACATTGTGGTATTCAGAAGGCAATAGCGTTGCATGATTGCGAGGCAAGCCTAAATGACGCGTCTTGCAAAAAGGAGACATCCGGATGTGTTACACATTCCCGAAAGGTTGACGAAGGAGGCTCGTATTTCATTTTAGGAACTGCGGAAAGATTCCCTCCTAGGAAGGGTTACCCACTGCATGCAGGTAGTAACTGCAGTCATTAATAAGCAAGTCAAAAAGATACAGGAGTTACCATGGCGATGCGCGCAATATTACGCGGTTTCGTCCACCGAAATGTTGACTACAAAAATGGTACCATGTCCTACAAATCGCAATTTGTGCAACTTTCGGCGACACGCGGCCCAGTGCCCCTGGCCCCAGAACCGGGCAATGATCACTACTGCTTGCCTTCTGGTGCCACCGGGAAGGAAACTAGGGTTCTCTATAGGCCACATTAAATGTAGCTGTGCGCACTTTCGTACTCGCAGCGCGCGGCTTGTTGTACTCAAGCTCTGCACTTCGGGCAACATGCCCGAAGTGCAGACTTGAGTAGGCTGTCAAAAAGCATGTCTCATGTACGCATGGGCCATGTAAATATATGCGTAGCTGCTGGATACGCAGTTAAAGGTGAAGTGGGTCATTTCTATGCGATATATTGCTTTTGCGTCACACATAAAGCTGCTGGCAGGTATTGTCTTGTTGTGAATGCACACCGCGATCTAACCGAAAGCTGTTAGTACCGACGCAGGGATGGATTTCTGTGAGGCTGTTTAAAGATCAGGAGCAATACAGTTGATACGAATGATATACTACCAGAAGGAATGCGGAAAGGCTATTAGAGAGAGGGTACCTCGACGCGTGGAGATCGAGCACATCGAGGTTGCAAGCGGACAATTGTCTGGAGCACCTCAAGGTACACCAGGTGTAATTATTACGCTGCATAGCTACAACTAGATGCGTAGCTAGGAATCTATACATGTGCAGCAGATAGAAACGAATGTTTGAGTGTAAAAAGTCGCATTTCAATTGGCAGCTAAATTGTTCCGCAGCGCAAATGTGTCTTTGTAATTGGCTGGGTGCCTTTCGGGGCACAGCCATTATCGTAATGGAACTGACTGTATTGTCGTAAGATTCGTAATACTGGGCCCAGTATACAATAACTCAATCGGGGCAGGTCTCCGGTGGCAACAAAGCGGAGGTGCAGTGTCCGATAATGGCGCGCTCTCGGAACGCCGAATCCAATAAAAATTGGTACTGATGTCCGAAAGCGCGGGTTTTCCACTTCTCTGAAGGTCGCGGTAGGTTACATAAAGGAATACTGAGTCCCGCCTGTTAGGTTCCTCGCGCGTGAGAGACATCTCCGAAGGGTCACACATAGACTGTGAAGCTCCTCAGGCCATCCATAACACAGCTGTTCAGGTTTGTTTCGTTGTTCTACTCGCTTCGATTCCGCCCGTGTTTGTGTGAAACTGACCATTCTTTCCTACATTTGATGCATCGTATATGTAAGAGAGCGAGGACCAACTGGTCGTGGACCTAGTCTAATCTGAAACTCGAAGTTCAGACGTACCAAGTATAGATGTTATGTTTCATCTGCCTTGTTAGACAAACTAACCTTCTTGTTTCACTTGTATTCATCACTTTGTAGGTATGTGCGCTCATGTGATATGTACATGTTCGCGCTGCAGGGCCCACAAGAGAAGGACATTTCGGCAGTAGTAGCGACCCCGGAGTCCAGTTTTATGTGGTCATAGCATATATACTGTAGAATGCATAGGTCATATTGTTCTACAGTGTCATGAATAGCGAAAAGGTAAAGGTTTCTATGCGCAACGATCACTCGTAGTAGTGAGTTCTTCTGATTAAACGGAGAAATGCATAATTGTACATTCATGCCTACAAGACAGTAATCACTGTCGTTCGGGGAGGCTGTCAGGAGTAGTAAAGGGAAGGGAAGATGGACCACCAGAGGCGGTGTGTAGCTATGCAAAATAACAGTGTGTATGAGGAGGTAGCAGAGTAGGAAAGGGAAGACCGCCGAAGGCCGTAGAAGATTAGGAAAACGAAGACCGCCTGGCTCTGTAAAAGTTCTATTCAGCAGATACCGCCTGCGGAGATCTGCAACATACAACGCAAGACCACCTCCGAGATAATCAGTTCAAATTACTAAAGATCGTATGTGGTAGTCAATCCTGGGAGTACTTGGCCAAGTCCTAGGTGGTCCTTCCGTTTTTCAGCAGTGACACCTGACGGAGGTCTCTCAAAAAGAAGCCATGTGTACTCCTGCAGCGCACCACGACGCGTAATTATTTGACCTCCTACGAACTACCAGGATTTGAGGGACACTTAGAGCCGCCGATGGTTCTAAATTTGGGCTATCAATACCGCCACAGGAGGTTTTTGAATTTTATTTTTGGCGGTAAAATGAACCTTCCCAGTAGGTCAAAAGTGTGACCAGTAAGGGATTGGCTTTCACCGCCTGAGGCGGTCATTTTCTGGTTATCATAAGACCTCCTCATAGACCTCTGGAAATTTCTAAAATGTACCTTGTAGTGATGTGATGCGCCAGTTCTCGCCAGAAATGAAGGCTTATCTCTGTCGTTTCGATGCCGGGGAACTGTATCGAGCACCGAGCGGACTACAGGATTTGACGACAACCTCCCAAGGAGCCGAAGCTCAGATGTCTGCGGACTTGAGGAACCGTATACGCTCTTGCGAGCCCCAAAAGATGCTTTCGCACGTGCTACTCACGCAACGGACTGGATTCCTTAAACGCCAAGCCATGGCTCTTACATCGAAGGATTCAATCCCGCCGTATGTGGAGAAGCACATTGCCTCGCTCATTATAAGAGCACGTGTTTACCAGCCAACTGTACAATTTGTTGCCGGAACGAACCAAATGGAGGCTACCGTCAGAAGCTACACGAATCGGTCTTCGCAGCGGATGGTGTCCTTCGCGGAGAGCAGCCAGACTCCACCTTTGTGCTGCGCATATTCACAGCAGGGTACCGGCTTCCCTTGTCTACACGGAGTGGAAGTTATTGCCGAGAAACACGGTTCTACCAACGTGCACATGTTTATCAACAGGCGTCATCTGACTTCTACTTGGAAGGGGCAGTACAAGGATGTGAGATTTCCGTTGCTGGAGCCAGCTGCTATCGATCAGGGTTTTCAATCCGCGAAAAAGCTTGTGGCACTAGGTAACCACTTGCAAGTTCCGAAAGCACTTGCGCCCCCTCGAGGGCGACCTGTGAAGAATGCAGGAAAGAGAAAGAAGGGATCGTTTGAACGTGTGCCCAGCACAAGAAAGAAAAAGAGCTATTCGTGTAGCTTGTGCCATTGTGAGGGCCATGTAAGGGCGGATTGCAAGCTGAAGCAGCTTTTTGAGTAGGTCGTTGTCGTTTATGTGTCGATGTATGTGTTCGTGGCGTGAGTAAAGTCGCCCATCTAATTTGTACTGGGTTTAGTTATCGCCCCCCTCTTGTGTATTACGCGAGGCGTCGCCCTAAAGTGCGCAATTGTAGCCCCTATCGTTGTCGTTGTCGCCCCCCTATTTCCGTCATGTGCCATTTGGTCCACCATTTCCAGGGTATAACCGAAATTGTCGCCCCTTGTGTTGTCTTGACGCCCTCCTGATAACGCTTTTTGGGAGGCTGTCGCCATCTCAATATGTACCATTTTTTAGTGTCGCCCCTGTGATCGTTGGAATACAGTGGTGGCAAAAACTATAGAACAGCAGGCATTTTCCGGTCGCAGGACCTGGATTTTTAAGTGCACACCAAGAGCATTGCTGTACGGCGAGCACTTAGCACGGGGAGCCCTCATGTTTTAACAGAATTGCAAGAAAACAAGCGGTTGTGAAGATATTGGCTCAAACGTGGAAAACACCCGTCAAAAACTATAGGTACACTTTAATGCAATGAGGCGTTGAAGGAACAAAAGTGCTCACACACGTGAACTCAATAGTCTATCTTCTTCCCTTTGGCGACGACTACATCCACACACCGCTTGCGCATCGATTGCGTCAAATGCTGTAGTGTGTCAGTCTTAATTCCATTCCAGGCCTCCAGGATGCCCGCCGATAGCGATTGAACATCGTCAAATTGCCTCTGGTTCTCGTACACCCGTCTAACGAGTATACCCCATACGTTCTCAATCGGGTTGAGGTCGGGCGAATATGCAGGCCAATCCAGGAGCGAAACAAAGTTGTCATAAAGCCAATCTTTGGCCAGCCTAGAACGATGACCGGGTGCTCCGTCTTGCATAAAAGTCCATGTAACTGGTAGATCTTCTGAAAAGGGAACGAGGTATTCTTGCAAAGTTTGCACGTACTTCTGTCCGTCCTGTGAGCCAACCAAAAACGCAAGCTCGGACCTCATCTGACCGGCTAAACACGCCCACATCATCCATGACACTCTGACCGCCGCTGTGCCTTTTGGAAAACCATTGCTTCTCTTTCCTCAGATCATGCCACTTGTATACAAGCCCATCTGGACCGTCCAGATTGAACTTTTCTCGTCCGACCACACCACATTGCGCCACTTTTCAGATGACCAAGTCATTCGTTCCATTGCCCAGGCGACCCTACATTTTTCATGTCGTTCACGCATTGCTGGTGTCCTTGCCACCCGTTTATACCGCAAATGAACGTTGTTTTGCAGTTGTTGACGGACGCGACGAGGCTTCACTGTCAATTGCAGGGCTTTGAAAATGCCGGTGGAGCTGAGAACACCCTCGCAGCTTCCCTGTTAATCCTTCTTTTGTCGGCCTCAGACAGCTTACACTGCCTTCCACCACCATTTTTTCGATTGTAGCCGGCCTGGTCCCGTAGAAACGTGCTGACAACGTTTCGAGACATCCCTAACTCCTCTGCAATATGCGAAACAGGCCAACAGTTGGCCTCATAGGCCACTATTTGGCCCTTTTCGAACGTGGAGAGGCGAGATTTTCGAGGCATTTTGTGCAGGAGGGAACTTTTTTCTCATGAACTTTGTGTCCATCATGCCTTTCTATCTCGTTCATGCTACCATTTGCCAAAGTTTTGGCGGGAACGGCGTTTCTGGTTCCCGCGATGAATGGTTTTGCATTGATGTGTACATATAGTTTTTGCCGGGTGTTTTCCACGTTTGAGCCAATATCTTCACAACCGCTTGTTTTCTTGCAATTCTGTTTAAAAATGAGGGCTCCCCGTGCTAAGTGCTCGCCGTACAGCAATGCTCTTGGTGTGCACTTAAAAATCCAGGTCCTGCGACCGGAAAATGCCTACTGTCCTATAGTTTTTGCCACCACTGTAGAATGGCGTCGCCCCTCTGATGACGAAAATATGCGCGCTGTCGCCTCCCTAATGGCCGCTTTAAGCCAAATAGATGTGACGACGTCACCTATTAATGCCGTCTCCCAATAGTGCCATTTTTGGGGTCTCGCACGGGGCGGCACTAATGAGTGGGGTCCACTGTATGGGTATTGTTGTCCTATACGAACGGCACTCTTATTCGGAGGTTGCACTGTACACCTGTACAAGTGATCCGCATATTGTGGTTGTGCTATTATTTGTAAATTTCGAGGACTCGTTGACTAGGTCAGTCCTCTGGAGAGCTTACTACTGAAACACTTTTGCTGGTGACGCGTCAGGGTAAGCATATCGCGCGAGCAAGACGACTCAAAAATAACCCGCACTCCTAGCGACGGAGTGCACTCCTTGGCTGCGCATTCCAATTGTATGAATTCCAGGGAGACGTCTCAAGAGCTGCTGGTGCTCCCGGTGCGCAGCGGCGAGCAGGGCCTCTACGTTGTTCTGACCGATCTCAAGGGATGGGGAAGCGCGAATGCCCACCGCGAGAATGCGCACCACGACGTGCACGCTGTTGTGCCAAGTAGCGACAAGGGCTTGAGTTATCTTCGGCTCGCCACACAAATTTACTCAAAGCTTGTTGTGTACGGCCAGCCGCGTCTAAACGTCGTAATATATCGACGGGAAGACATGGCGGCTCAAAAGTCGGTCGAAGAGCAACTATCGAAGCCTCAACGGAATTGCGTACCCTCTCGCAACGATGATTTCGAAGCTATCGCTCTTGTCGGATCTGAGGGCTACGCTTTTGGGGATGGGTCTCCCGACTTTTACGACAAGTACGCTGTCGTGGCCGTTGGCGGCACTTTTGACCGACTGCACGCCGGTCACCGCCTGCTGCTGACAGCGGCCGCATGGGCAAGCCGGGAGACACTTCGGATTGGGATGACAACGGACTCGATGCTACAAAACAAAAAACACAAACACCTGATTGCCAGCGTCGCGGATCGAAGCCGGGCAGCCAAGGAGTTTGCGCTGCAGGTGAAACCAGGGCTGCCCAAAATCGTGATATCGGAACTGACGGATGCGGCAGGCCCGAGTGCGAATGATGGTTCCATCGAGGCGATCGTGGTATCCAGCGAGACGGCACGTGGGGCGCGTAGGATCAACGATGTGCGGCAAAGCGCGGGGCTGAATCGGATGGTGATCATCGAAGTGGACGTGCTGGATACGCAGGGACAGAAGCTGAGCTCGACGGGGTTGCGAGCGGAGGAGATTGTAAAGCCGCATGGATCGGAAGCGTAAAATTGGGCATCTATGTCTTCCGTGGAAAATGTAAATTACAATCGGGAC